CGTCACCTATTAGATATCTCCAAATTGAAATCAGACAGCACTAGACCTATAAAAGATATTCTCTAGTTTGTGAAACTATGCTTGTTTAGTGTATGTCTACAAAGCACGCTAATGATATCCCCCTTTTTAAGAGGTTAAAAAGATCAAGAATTATCAAGAATGACTAAAATTAGTCATTCTTGTGAAAAAACTACAAATTCAACACTACATATATAAGTTGTCTGTATAGCCCATCATGTTGTATGTCTAGAAGGGATAATGGTTCGCTTTTCAGTGTTGAAGGATAGGCAGTAAACTAATGAGGCTTGCAGTACGGTTACATTGGTTAACTATACTGAAGTGTGCCTTCTACAGGGCCCCCTAACTGCATATCAAATGGAGATCTTAAAACAAACCTGGCTGGCCTAAAGACACATTCATAATCAATGGCATGACAAAAAGTGAATATTTTCTCAATGATGCCAGAAGAAGTGAAGACTTGATTCTTTATATCAGAAATGTAATTAATTACTTACCGAAAGGATAGCTTGGCATTGTCATAGGCATACCTGTAAAAATGGTGTTTTAGTGTGCAGTTAATAAAAATGGCACATAACAAGCTAAAATCCTGTCTTTCAAAAATGTGTATAAGATAAATGACGAACAGCAATACAATTTCAGTTCGTGTGTCCTAGTAATCCCAGGTGCCAGGGGCGTCTGTTGTCCCCGGATCTCCCAAACCAAATTGTTCCTGGGTGAGGGGTCAGACAGAGTAATTCAATCAACCCTTATGAAAAGAACTAAAACAAGGGACCAGGCATCTTAGATGAGAGATGAAATGTCTTCATGAAACTTAAAAAAGGCCAGTTACTTTCTTCCCAAGCTCCTTCAACTGGTTACATATAGTAGAGCTCATCTCAACTCACTTACTTGGGCTCCATAACCAATCTCCTGGAGAGTGTTTGGACTCTATTCCAGTCTGGAGTTGCCCTTGAGGAATTGGCCTTTTGTTTTTTTCTCCTCCTTTTTTGCCTTTCCCCTCGCTCAGTGTAGCAATCAGAATTGCTTCCATTCGAATCTTCCATTTGTTGAACCCTGGTCAATGCAGTTTTTTTGTCCTGGATGCAGAACACTCAACCAGCTCTTTGTCCTGTTTTTTTTTTTCCCGCATACTCAGGAGTATGGGGTGTTCTAGCCTGTTGTTGTGAGCCAAAGGAGAAATGTGAGCTTGGTCCACATTTCTGGCAATAGGTTTGACTCATTTCCAGTGGTTGTTGGACTCTGCCACAGCTGCCATTAGTCAATGATTCTTTTTATAATTTTATGGACATAATTTCTAGGTGTAGGTGGATCTGCTGGCTTCATCAGGCTTCATCAGGCTTCATTGCAAGTAGAGTTGGCCTCCAGCTTGCACTGGAGTTGTTTGCAACCTAGTGTGAAGCACCTCCAAATCTGAGGCCATGGTCCTCAGTCAGAAAAGGCTGGAGCGCCCACGCCGGGTCATCAATGAATTGCTGCTCCAAGTGGAGTAGTTTAGGTATCTTGTGGTCTTGTTCACGAGTGAGGAGAGAGGGGAGGAAGTGAGTGATAGAAGGATTGGGACCAGAGCTGGATGGATGCAAACGATGTACCGCTTCATCATGCAAAGCTCTCAATTTACTGGTCAAGCTACGTCCCCTGTCTCACTTATGGTCACGAGCTTTGCGTAGTGACTGAAAGAATGAGGGTGCGGATACAAGCAGTAGAAACAAGCTTTATCCTAAGGGTAGCTGGTCTCTTTTTTAGAGATAGGGTGAGGAGTTCAGTCATTTGAGAGGGGCTAAGAGTTGAGCTGCTGCTCCTCTACATTCAAAGGAGCCAGCGAGATGGTTCAGATATCTGACTAGATGCCTTCTGGTCACCTCCTGTGTGAGGTGCTCTGGATATGTCCCACCTGGAGGAGCCACTGGGCCAGACCCAGGATACACTGGCAAGATTACATCTCTTAGCTGGCTTGAGAATGCCTGGGGTTACCCTGGATAAGCTGGAGGTTACTTGGAAGAGGGAGGTTTGGCTTTGTCTGCTTAGACTGCTGCCCCTACCCCTAAGTAGATCGATTTTACCTTTTAGTGTGAACATTATGAACAATCTGCACGTTTAAGAATGTTTTGTAGTTCAACTATGAAGTAAATACATGTGGCGTGTGAATTTCCTACCTGCTCCATACATGCCAGAGTGCATCGGTCCAATCCCCCCTCCCCCTCTCATCCTGCGATTCAGAATAGCTACTCTTTCCATGTCCTGCACACACAAACACACATAAATGAGCTGTGTATCACATTATAAGTGACAGGGCAGCCACAACTACACGTGGAGTTGCTGGAAATAAGCCTTAAAAAACTCAGTAACAACATAATAACGTTCTACAATATATAAGCATATCTCTGAACTAAACACTAAAAATGCATACTACACAGTTTAGCCTGCACATACTGTCTAGTATAAATTACATCGTCATATACAAGCTTTAAATTTCTAATTTATCAAACGAGCAGTCTTTACCTTAAAGCATCTCTCTTTTTCTCTTTATATCTTTCCTTTCTTACATTGTTTTTCATATCAGAGAAAGTAAAGTTATCATGCATGAACATTTTTTTCTCTGGGAAATACTAGCCTAGTAGTCACTGTGCCCTTAGCTAGAAGACACAATTATAAGCCAAACTGCAAAGAAACACAACACAACTCACTGGAGGTCCATTGTCCAGTACGGGTTCAAATATGTCATCAACATAGGCCTCCATCTGTCGACTGCGCCCTGAAGATGGAAAGAATTTCTCATTAGTTAGAGTAAAAAAAAAAAAGGACCTTTGTGTTGTCTTTGCTGGTTGCCTGTACGACTACTCCTTTATTTTTCAACCAAAAACTAAATATCAACATAATATTTTTTATACTACTTTTTGACACAATCATAAACATAATAGTATTTTTATTTTGTTTTTATTTTGTTATTCAAGTTCATTCATGAGGATGAAAGGAATTGGGCTCGCTGGATAGACCCTTTGTTGTTTGCAGTGTGGGAGGCTCCCCAGGCCTTCATTGTGTTTTCCCCCTTTCCCCCCAAGCCCAGTTAAAAATGAGATTTAGTATGTCCTGGACCTGAAAGCAAAGCTGCAATCATTGTCAAGGTTGTCAAGGGAGAATTTATTCCAGGCCCAGGAATGTCAATAGCACCTGTACAACAGAGGGGTTAGACTCAGGCAATTTTCAATGGGAGACAAAGTGCTTGTATTACGCCCTTCTTCAAGCTTAAAGAGGCAAGGACTCTTTGTGGTCACACGGTGAGTTGGCGATGTTGACTATGAGGTGGTATGGCTGGTGAATGAGGTGTCATGGTCTGATGCCTATCTCATGGCCCGGGTTGGGGCTGCTGGACTCCTTAACTGGTAAGATCCGGCTCAATTTTTCACCACACTGGATTTAACCGAGGGCTACTGGCAGATTCCCTTGTCTGCAGTATCCAAGGAAAAAACAGCCTTCTCCATGATGCTATCATCCATAGTAACAACCGGCATGTGTACTGGGTAGCTGTGGTCCTGGAGTCCCTGATGTAGGTGGGGCTCATAGCCAACCCAAAGAAGTCTGCGTTTGGATCAAGGGAGGCACAGTATTAGCGTACCATTTGGGAGGCGGGCAGGTGTGCCTACAGGTGGAGAAAACAGTAGCCATTGCATCTTCGTGCCTGGATTTGGGGAATGGACCAGACCCTTGACTGACCTCACGTGAAAGGGTGCCCCAGATCTGGGCCAGGAGATAAAGCAGTGCAAGGCGGCATTTGTACAGATAAAAACGGCCCTTCACTGGGAGCCACTGTTTCACACACCTAACTTTTCTGAATGTATTTTGGTTTGTAGTGTATAGATTAGTGCTGTCAGCGTTAATCTTGTTAATGCCATGACCGCA